ATATTTCATGTATCATATTTTGCATAGTTTTATTATTTTTGTAATTTTTGGGGAAAAATTATTTTTAAGTTTCTCCTTTTTAACTCTGTTTTTTATTTTATGGAAATAATAATTGGAATTATCTTCTTCGTGCAGTATATCTACTATGGACGTGTGCGAGTTAGGCTAAGTTGATGCTAAACCAAATGGGAGATTTTTTGGGATTTTTTGCACTTCACACATTTTGCCATTTATCAACACGTATCGACACATCAATACATTATCGACACAACTTAGAATTTCCCTCATTTAGAACGCAACTTAGCCTAACTCGCACACGACCTATATGTTATATGAAATCGTATATTTTGTTTTTGTGACAGCTTATCCCTGATATTTGTTTAATTAATTTTTATTTTATTTTTTATTAAGTGCTTCAAGGACAAATTATTTTGTACATTTTCTTAAAAACTAAAATGGACTTAATTGATATTCGTACAAACGTATATTTATAAAATGAAAAAGTCATTAAATGTCAAAAAAAAAATGCGGTTATAACCACAAAAAATATAATTACAAATTTACTAAATAAAAAGAAAACAAAATTTAATTTTAGGCGCTTTGAAAATTAAAGACAAATATACAGATAAGACTTCAAAAATAAAAAATAAAGTAATATTTATAACTTTATTATAAAATTATTAGCAAGGTCCGCGTCGGAACGCTAAATGGTTTAAAAATTGTTCTAGTATCATAAACTGTAAAGTTCAGTTGTCGAGTTTCGTCCGTCCCGAGATATCCATTTCTCCTCTACTTGTGCCCAACATAATTACATAATAATAATAATAACATAATAATAATAATAACAGAATAATAATAATAATAAAATAATAATAATAATAACATACGTCAATGGACTCGAATACAAGAGTTCGGCAACCTAATAAATATAGTTAGATGCAGAAAACAATATGCAGAAATCGTAAAAAAATTGTAATTATATTTATCTAAAGTTAATTTAAACAATGTACATAATTTTATGTTATATGATCACCAATATTCGAAACTGAATTGCAAAAAAAAGAAGAAGAAATAAACAATTTAATTTAAATAAATTAAATTATATTATCTTAACTGTTTACTCTAGTTAAACGACAGTTTGTTCGGGAAATAAATTTACGACTCCTTTTTTGCCAGTATCGAACCATTCAACAGATTTTTTTTATAATAAATTCAGATTAAACGGCATAAGATATTTAAAAAATTACTTACTGGCTTCAATAAGATCACTCATCGGCTAGCGCGATTCTCAATATAATTATAAGCAAGATATTTAAAAGCTATGAATTATGAGTTAGAAGAATAAATAATAATACACCCAACTCTTTTTTTACACGGTAGATACGTTTCTCAGAAATCCGTGTAAAAAAAAATACCAAGTGTCAAACAAGACAGTGATTTTGAGACCGTACTAGATTAAAAATTTTTTACAAAAAAAATTTTTTTTTAACCGTGAAACTTCAAATCCGTGTAAAAAGAAACCGTGTAAAAAAAGAGTTGGGGTAATAAGAAATAATAAATAAGAAGTACTCATTATTAAACATTTATATAGTTAAATATAATTTATATAAAAGCTGTAAATATTGTTTTTTTCTTAAGGTTCGCGGTTTTGTTGGTTGTCATAAAATGCTTGAGCGTGACATGTATCTATTAGTCTGTCTTGCATTCAACCATTGGCATACCGGAATTGAAGACCCACTACAGTATCCACAGTGTATATTAGCAATTCATAGTTCTAAACGTCTTTTGGTAGAGCAAATTCATCCGCCCTTACATATACTGGCTGATGCTATTATAAACTTAACGCTTACTAAAGGACAGCGACATGAAGGAAGAGAAGGAATGACTGCTTACTACCTTACAAAAGTATGTAAAAATTAAGCCTTATAATAAAAACTTTCATATATATAATAAAATGTTTTAAGGGGTGGGCTGGACTGGTAGTGATGGTGGAAAATCGTCATGAAAATAAATGGATTCACGTGAAATGTGACTGCCATGAAAGTTACAATGTAGTTTCTACAAGAGGAGAACTAAAGACTGTTGATTCAGTTCCTCCATTACAAAGGTAAAAATTTTAAACTTAGCATTTTCAAATGGTAGTTATATTTTTATTTTATGTAGGCAAGTTATAATTGTACTAACACAATTAGAAGGAAGTGGCGGGTTTAGCATTGCTCATCGCTTAACACATCGCCTAGCTAATTCGCGTGGTCTTCATGATTGGGGACCCTTTGGAGCTACTCATTGCCCGCCTATTGAAAATGTTCATGGTTTGCATGCTCCACGATTGATTACATAAATCAAGTATTCTGGTCAAAGTTTAGAAATACACATATGCTTGTTTCACTAACATTTGTATTTAAACTTTAATAAAATGAATGTACACTTTTAAAAAACTCTAACTATTATTATATTTTTTTAAATTTTGTCACAAAGAAGTTAAGTTTATAGAATATCAATTGAATTTATATAACCCCATTATTTAGAATTATTAATAATAGTCTAGCACAAACTTATTTTGCCTTTGCTAGTTTGATAATAATTGCTGGTTCCAGTTTATTCGGCTGTACTTAATCTTGATGAATATTTTTTTTAGTATTTTAGGAATCATAAAATTTTATTAATATTTACTTTGTTAATTGTTAATTGGTATACATTACCATATATTGTTATTAACGTACGTTGATCATTTTCAACGCACGTTTTAAAATTACTAATTATTTATTAAAAATAAAATACAATTTGAAAACTACACTTTATGTTAAATAAAAGAAATATTAAAAAAAATATTATGTTAACGCGAATAAGGTTTATCAAAAAAAGTTAACAAAATTTTAATTAAAGACGAAGCAAGACAGCTAAAATCAATGACTTCCCGTTTAAAGACAAAAAACAGCAACAACTAAATTTACAGTAAGAACAGCTTGCAAATACACAGGATAATTGCCAGGACTTAACGAAATAATTCAATATTAATAATTGAAAAATATAATTAAATAGTATTGAATTATTTATTATAAGAAATAAAAAATGATAAATCCAAAAACTACAAAAAATACTGGCTGATCTGATCTGTACGTTGAAGAACTTACTTCAATAAGGCGAATCGTTTGCTGGTAAAAGCGCCTTAAACCGCGCTCGTCAACAGCGTTGTTCGAACTTAAATAACAAGGTACGGTTATAATAAGGTAATCAGAAATTTCTTAAGCTAATGGCACGCTCCAAAGTCACAATACATTTTATGGAGATCACCTCGTCTGACAATAAAGCTTTTGATTACAGATATAAAGCAATTAGTGACCAAATACAGGATTAATTCTAAATGAATGAACTGTCTTAAGGTAGCAATTAAGTATTAATTTTGGAAATAAATAAATTATTTCACATTGCTAAATTGTGTCATTCAATTTATATTTTTAAGCAACTTAGCAAATGTGAAATAATTTATTTTAAAAATTTATAGCCACATTTTTTCAGAGTTCTAAAAAAACGCCATTAAATCTGGTTAAAAAATTGGCATCACTTTTAAAAGATGTGAACTGTTTTTTTTTATATATGTGTTATTTTGTGTTGTGTGTAATATGAAATAAAAATATTGGAAACACTAAAAATTAATTAATTTAAATAAAAGAAAACAATATGAATAATAGAAGGACAATGATGACAATTTTTTTCTTATTGTTTTAAGATTTTAAAAGCATTGTTGTTACTTCACACGCTTTCTTTCGTAAGTTGCGAGTATATTTTTGAAAGACTGAATGAAAAAAATTCAATGTTAAGCTGGGACAACAACTTAACTGGAGCGTCGATAAAATATTAAAAGTTGCATTATGTGCTGTTAATAGTGCTTCAGTTAAATTGTTGCTAGGGTGTCGCAAATAATGTTAATATTAGGTCTTTCGGTGGCTTGCAAGTATGGAAAAGACAGCAAGTTACTGGCCTATACTGGCCGAAATGTACGCAAAACAACAACACTATTTTCTCTATCTATGCCAGTAGTTGTATACTGGTCACACATTTCAGTCAGTTAAAACGAAGTCCTACCAACGCAATAAGCGAACTATTGTGAACTTTCATTGGAAATTTCAACGAATATTGCAATCATATATCAAATCATATATATTTTTGTTTTTATTTCCTTTTTTATTTGTACATAGGTCTTATGGTAAGAAAACATTAACATAGCAATTCTGAATACTCCGAGGGAACAAAACTCCCTATTCCCACGCTATTCCCAAAAACACAACTCCCTTATTCTGAATGGCTTTAGAGACAGCAGTTTTGGTGTAATGGTATATCTATAGTTGACCTTACTCAATGTTAAAGCCGCCTTTGATGACTATTGCATTCATATTCTTCTTTACACTTATGTTCTGATTTAAATGAGCTAACCATTGCATTTTAGTAATTTATGGCATGAGTCAGAAAATGATACTTCTGACATAAATAATTTGCCGTTTGAAATTCGGTTAAGAGCTCATGTGGTGTCAAATATATTGACACCACACAAATCGGAACACATGTGAATATGAGACACATGGCAAACAAATGCACAGTAAGTACTTACTATGCATTTCTTGTCTTAAGTAATGTGTCATTTATAAATAGGAAGTATATGGAAATTATAATTGCAAAGTATATAAGAATAACCAATTAGAATTAAGAGAATATTGTTAGAATAAGATAAATATATCAATTAAAAATAAACAATGAAACTATTGTAAGATTTAGAATAAGTTTCTGAAGACAGTCCATTGTAGAACGTGATCTGACTAAGATCATAATAATAATATACTAATAAATGATTAAATAAAATAAAAATAAACTGTTCATATAATTAATGTGTTTTCATTAAATCTCAAATATAATCCCATCACATTGGGAACAACAACAGTTTCAAATTTGTTTTGTTGAATTTTGGCAACCATGGCACTTTTTAATGACGAAAAGTAAGAAACTGAGCAAAACAAAGAAAAGAATTGCATATCATATGTTGATTTAGATGTAAAAATCGCATTATTTGTCTGCTGGATAAATGATCAGAAATAAATATAATGAATATTTTAAAAGTAAATAATACAAAATTGTTATTTTACATATTTATTTTATTATTTTAATAATTTTATTATTATCAAGCCGCAATATCGGCAAAAGAAAAGGGAAGAAAAACGACTTTTCAGGCGAAAAAAGAAGGAAACAGAAGGACGTGAGTACGTAGAGCTTGAGAAGCAGGGCGACAGGAATATGGCACGAAAATTCTGTCAAAAAATTAAAAGCCTGACAAATGGTTATAAACTCGGAGTTGATTCCTGCAAAGATGAAAACGGTAATCTGGTGATAGATGTCCAAAGCATGCTTAATATTTGAAGGAATCACTACTTGAAACCGCTAAATGGCGGTAGTAGTAATGTGACTGAAAGCGAAGATGATTCCGAATTTTCAATCGTTGGTGATGAAATAATCGTCTCACCTCCCGATCATAATGAAGTTAAAACACCTATAACGCGGCTCAAAAACAACAAAGCTACAGGTGCCGATGGTTTACCGGCTGAGCTGTTTAAAGCTGGAAGCTATAGCTATCAAAATGCATGCTACAGCTAATTCGCAACATATGGTCGAATGCATACCCAACGATTGGAAGTTAAGATTCTTTGCCCAATCCACAAAAAAGGTGATCCTGCAAACTGCGCCAACTATCGCAGGTTCTGTCAAACGTATTTTGTGAAAGATTGAAGCCAATCGTAAATCAACTGATTGGACCTCATCAGTGTGGCTTCAGACTTAGCAAATCCACCCTAGACCAGATATTCACAGAGCGTCAAATCCTGGAGAAGACTCAAGAAAAATAAATCTATACACACAATCTAATTGTCGACTTCAAAGCTGCTTCTGACACTGCGACTAAAAACACACTCTATGTCTAAATTTGGTATCCCAGCAAAACTTATACGGCTATGTAAAATGACGTTGAGCAACACCACCAGCTCCGTTAGAATTGGAAAGAACCTCTCCGAGCCGTTTGATACCAAACGAGGTTTCAGACAGAGTGACTCCTTGTCGTGTGACTACTTTAACCTAATGTTGGAAACGATAATTCGAGCAGCAGATTTAAACCGTACTGGCATATTCTACAAAAGTGTGATGCTGTTTGCGTATGCCGACGATATTGATATTATTTGTCTGAAAACCCTCGTCGACAGTGCCGCATTTTTCAACTTAGAAAAACAAGCAAAGGAAATGGGTCTTGTGGTAAATGAAAACAAAACAAAGTACTTTCTGTCAACAAACAAATCTCCTGAGCGTCTTGGGATCTACGTCACTGTTGACAATTATAAGTTCGAAGTTGTGAAACATTTTGTTTATTTAGGAACCAGCTTAAACAACAAGAATGACGTCAGCCTTGAGATTCAACGAAGAATCACTCTTGCCAACAAATATTACTAAGGCTAAGTAAGCAATTGAGAAATAAAACCCTCTCTCGACAAAGAAAAATCACACTCTACAAATCTCTTATGCCTGTCTTGCTGTATGGTGCAGAAGCTTGGACAATTACCAACGGTGATGAGAAGGCGTTAGGAGCATTCGAGAGAAAAATTCTTCGGAAGAACTATGGTCCCATACGCGTTGGCAACGAGTATCGAATTAGATTGAACGATGAGCTGTATGAGCTATACCGCGAAATTGACATAGTTAAGTGCATAGTTAATCGGCTACACTGACTTGGTCATGTCGTGCGAATGAAAGAAAGTGCTCCGGCTAGAAAAGTATTGGATTCGGTACCCGCAGGTGGAAAACGCGGTAGAGGACGTCTGCATCATCGGTGGAAGGACCAGGTGACCAACGATTTGAGGGCGCTCGATACTACCAACTGGCATCAGAAAGCAACTAATCGGGCTGACTGGCGGAGGCTATTCGACGGGGCCAAGGACAACCCACGTCTGTAATGGCCAACTAATAATAATAATAATTTTATTATTTAAATATGTATATAATTTATTATTTTCTTATATACAATAAAACAAAGTAAAATATCTTTTTTATTAAATAATGAAATTATTAATGCTTTAACTAAAATTTGAGTTAAAAGAAGCAATGTTTTACCTGCGCATAATTGCAAAAGTTTATTTTAACTTAATATAGGAATCCCATTCATTACAGAATTTGAGTTTCTTTCATTATCTATTGTTTTAAATAACAATAGTTAATGCTTTAATTTGTGATAAAAACCCTAGTGGATAAAATAAATAAATAAAAATTAGAAAATATTAAATTTATTATAATAATAATTTTATTAAATTATATTCAAAAATCTGAAAATCTTATCTGATCTGATCATAATACTTTTTTAACTTGTCTCCCAAACAATTGGCTTAGTTTGGGTTTAGTTTGGAATGTATGAACG